TCTTCCACAGACTCAGCCAATGGGACACTGTTGCAAACCATGTATCACATTCTGTAACTGAAGTTCACGCGTGTTCTCATGATGGGCGACTTCAGTTGCTCAAATCTAGCTTAATCAATGACCTCCCGACAACCTTTTTTAAAGGAAACTCGCTCCGCTTATTGAATCCTATCCACTTTACAATTTTGTGAAAGGAGCCAACCAGTCACCGTCGGTTTTGGATTTGGTGTTAGCTAACGAGAAACCGATGATGGAAACAACTTCCACTGCAATTCCATTAGGTCGTAGTGTTCATGCCGTGTTGACGTTTGACTACATTTGCTACGCATCCGTACCGTATATTTCAACGGTTAACTCCTGTATGTTTGTTGTCTACACGAAACGTGAGATTTTGGTGGGAGACTTCCAATGGAATTTTGCCAACGAACAGTGATCTATCGGTATCCTGGCAAGGATTAACTAATCACCTGACGGAAATGGTGAAAGGCGTGGCCAAGACCAAACACATGACGTATTCAACCGGTCAAAAATCAGTGATTCGTGGTCTAGCAATGAAGTGGACTTCGCAGAGGAATATCTCATGGAAAGCTTATAAACGATTGCCTTGCAACAACACATGGTGCAACTACTGTCTACTTCGAAACCACTCCACTAAGTTAGCTCGAGAAAAAAGTTGATGTACCAAGAAATGCTGATGCGCAAGTTTATAACAGATCCCAAGCTGTTGTACAAACACATAAATACCACCAGAGAGCGTGTTTCAGTCACAAAAAAGGAGGCAGCCGAAATGTTACAAATTCAGTACACTCAAGTGTTCACCGCACTTGCGAACACCGGACTACGACTGTCTTTGTTACTTAAGGATGTACCATACCCAACGCTCACCACAATGGATTTTTCTCCAGAAATCATAGCATCAAAACTTCAGTGTTTTAAAAGGAATTTACCTCCGGGGATAAATAATATCCATTCATAAACCTTTATCAATCTGGCAAGTCACACGGATGAACCATTAAGTAAACTATTCCAACAAATGTTCGACATAACTATGCTCCCACAAACAATGAATAATTTCTCCAAATGAAAGAACTTCGTCGACAACGCACCACGGCAGTTCAGGTTTCTGAATCACTTTCCGATCCTATCAGCGCTGCCCGATGGGTTCCACAGGGATCCGTGCTTGGCCCTCAATTTTTCTAGTTTTCATAAACAACCTGACGGACATTCTGAGGTGAAAAACGTGAATGTTATCAGACTATACAAAATTATGGAAGATACTGATAAAACCCGAGGGCTCGCTTGCATTTCAAAAACACTTGGTACTGTTTATCAATGGTCGATAGAAAACGACATTGAATTCAATGCATCAAAATGTACGGTCGTATCCCTTCACGACATAGCTCGATTTCCGTACTTCCCGGGAGATTAACAACTTCCGTATGCCTCTAATGAGAAGGATCTTGGTGTCACTGTTAAAGGCGACCCAAGTTGTTCTTTGAACTGCTCAGGGGTGTCGTCCACCGCTGTAAGACATGCTGGTTTGCTAACAAAGAGTATTTGGCAAATTTGAGCCTACGCTGTTCCCACGATTTTTATCAGCCTATGTTCGACCCCACTTAGAGTACGCCATTCAAGCATGGAATCCATGGCTTCAACACGATTGTATGATTCTGGAACGTCCACAAAGAATGGCCACCAAAATGGTCAAAGGACTGCATGCCAAGAGTTACNCCCACACAGTATTGCCGAATTCGAGGGGACTTGATTTTCGTGTATCAACTAATGCAGAACCTTGATGACCCATGTTCACTGTTCGCCTTGTCGTCTAACACTCATCCAAGGGGGTACTCATTGAAATCGATGCTCGAAAAATGTCAACTAGAATGCCGGTGTCATTTATTCACCCTCATAGTGTGTACTGCTTAGAATTCCCTACCACTCCACGTTGTTTCTGCTCCCACAATTCATTCTTTCAAGCATACACTAAATGAAGCCTTGACAAGTCTTAAATTTCCACATTCGTAGCAGTGCACGAATCAGAGAAAGTTTGTGATATACCTTACTTTTCTATGAACCGTAAATCGATCCATTTGTGCTGTACCCTATGGGACAAGAAAAGCAACCGCTTGTAAGTATTTCCCATAATAAAACTTTGACTTTTAGCTGTACTAATTGTGTACTAACATATCTTTCTGTTTGTTTCCGCTTACATCAGAACAACCGGACCCTTGGAAAGATCTGGATCTGTTCGAGCCCTACTCTTTGGAAAACGATCCCGGATCGAATAATTCCGGCTATTACGATTTACAAGGGGTGATCAGTCATCAGGGTCGAACTAGCTCAAGCGGTCATTATGTGGCTTGGATCAAAGTGAACGGTAAGCACTTTAATCGCTGAACCGAATTCATTGGATTCAGCTACTCGTGCCAAGGACTAAACAGAGGGATGTGTGTGTGTGTGTTTCATAGACAATGGATGCATTTACACAGCCCTGTTATTTATGTACAAGTTAACTCCGGGAACAAAGCGCATGTGTGGAACATATTCTCTATTGCTTTGCACTTCAATAAATATACTCATATACTATAATAGCGTAGAATTAATTCCTCTATGTAGCCTCCGTGTTTAACTTTTAATTTGCCACCCTGCGCTTTGTGGTTATAACTCCCTAGTGTACCTTAGTGAGAGGTCTGACCCCGTGGGCTGAGTATTTTCGATTCCCTTGAGTTTTGTACAGTCGATGAAGCCTTTTGTCAAGTAGCACGTTACCTAATTCAATTGAGTCTGGAAGTGTTTCCTCAAATGGGCCACGAATATATTTTCAGCCTTTCTCGTTCCTCTGAGTTACTCGATTCTCCCGTATTGAGTTTTACATCCCTGTCCCAAGTTAGCTCTACCAAGTAGAGCATCTGATTGTCAACCTAAGTAACAATCTAAAATAGACATTCACGTTCAGTTTCGATCTCCGCAGTCAATATGTCTTCCAACGTGTCCTTTCTGTCTCTATTCCTGTGTTGTTCTCCTTTAATTCGCCCGCCACCGGCCTTCTTGAAGCAGTGCGTTGACGCTGTACGCTGCAGCTTAGTAATTATTAGCGGAATTTCATTCCTCTCCTGGCTGAAAGTCATATCAGCCTAATCCTAACCAGGAGTCTGGGCCACCTAGGTCCCGTTAGGCTCCCTGGATAAGGACCTCGGGATGATCGTACCCGATGGCTAGAGACACTGAGTGATATGGCTGTGTCGTAAACAGTGGCATTCGCGCATTTTCTTAATTTCTTTGCAACCTTAGCCCACTGAAATTCTCCGTTTTCTGTTCGACTCTACTTCCAACTTTCCTGTCTTTTTCCTACTGTTCATCCAAATGGGCAGCCACAAGACAGCAACCCAAATCGGCGCACGATAGTGCATGGTTGATCAAAGTGCAAACTGAACTGAGCTGAAAATCGATTCCCGGTGAAATTTGTCTCACACGATGTAGCATAACTCCAGACAAATCTTCATGACAATGATATCGTCACCCGTCACTCGAATGTCGGTTGTGTATTTTTGCCAAAGTAGTTTTGGACGGAGATTCCCAGTGCACCCGATTGGACTAGAGTTTTGAGACGCGCAGACAACAAATCAGGATTCCTCAAATTCAAACACTACCTGAAGTTTTAACAAGACTCGCTTGCGTACTTCTAGTCTTTAAATAATCAGCTGTTATTGGTGGTCTTTAGTGATTATCAACTTTTCACCGTTTCCGATAGCTCGCATAACCGTATGGTTACGGTAAGATTACGCGATACTCTGTGTTCTGATATGGAATTTTCTAATTTCTGTCTAAGGTACATGGATGAAATTTGATGATGATGTCGTGACGGCCGTAACCCCGGAGGATATTATGAAACTGTCCGGTGGAGGTGATTGGCATTGTGCGTATGTACTTCTATATGGACCCAAACGCGTTCGCAAGGACACAGAAGCCTCACCGACCTCGGCTCCGATGGAGGCTGACTCAGCCGTGACCAAGTCGACCACACTCGAAGGAGATCGGCTGCCCAAGTAACTGGTGGTGGCGCGGTAGAGTGTTACTGTCGATTTGGATCAGTCTCATTCCTGTATGCTTCTTTGTTCAGCAGTCGCGCGCACGTGTGCAAGTGACATGTTCGTGGATGCGCTTATAAGAAACACCACATTGTCATTAGATTTTCCGTTCATTTTAGAGGAATTTGGATGAGAGTTGCTGGCGGCTTTCAGCACCAAATCTCTCTGAACATCATATGATCCGATTTTCCGCGCGACATATGCACACACATCTATATATTTTTTTCGTCTCTCTGTTCTTGCTCATCCACTTCGAGGACCTGATTCCATTCGTCTGTGTACAAACCCTATTAGGCCAATTCCGAACACACTTGTTTCGTGTGTCCCTTCCGACATTCAATCTGTCATTTCGCTTTGTAATGCCTGACATCTGTTTTACCCTGCCTCCCACCCTCAGCCTTTTCATTGCCGGTGACAAATCAACCCCCCGAAAGAGTCTAGCGTTTTTGCGTCTCCTCACCCCTATCCCTATCTCTCACCTCTGTTTCTCGGTGTTCCTCTAACACGTTTTCGTTTCTCTTGTTTGATACTGATACAGTCTCTGTCACGCTGGAGTCTACTTACCTACGAGTTTGCTGCGAATGTATAGTCGCTTAGTGTCACGCACTCATCCTAGTCAGTCTATTTATGGTCCCGGCTTTTGGGTTTTGTAGCATTTTTCGCCCTGTCACACCTTGTAGTTGGCGTCATGCTTGTTGTTGATGAACGCAGCTGATTTCCCGTAGGACTATGATTGAGACCATAATCCCGTCGTGTGTTTGTGGGGTGTGTGAAAATATGATTTAGCGTTAATTTTGTTCGGAACATGCTACCAATCTGTGAAACACAGCTTGTTATTCGGACTCTTTCCTCAGGTGTTCATAGACATTAGAGCACCTCCAGACA